GTGCGGAATCACGCTCCACCTCTCTCCACCCAAGCAAAATATTAAGCTACATCATCTTGGAGAGACTAAAGGATGCGCTGGATTCAAAACTACAACCAGAACAGGCTGGCTGGCTGGCTGGCTGAATTCGAGAAGTACAAATCATGTGCGAACCAAATTACAACCCCACACTACGCATCATCATAGAACAGAGTACAGAATGGCAGTCAACCATCTAAATCAACTTCATCCACTTTGAGAAGGCCTTTGACAGCCTCGACCGAGAAGTATTTGACAGTTTCTTCAACACTACGGAATACCGCAAACCTTCAACAACTATATGAAGATGCCACATGACAAGCAATTCACAATGGGAAGCTCAGTGATACTTTTCAAATGAAGACAGGAGTGAAACAAGACTGCCGTCTACTATCAACCATGATATTCCTGATTGTGGTCGACTCGACTGGATCATGCAAGAGATAACAGTGGTGAGCGAGAAGAGTGGGATACGCTGGAACGGGGAAAAGAACCTAGAAGATTTGGATTTCGCCAATGATTTGTGTTTAGTGTCTTGTGGCACAAACTTGAAGATCCAGATCTACAGGCGAAAACTAACAAGTTGGCAGAAGGGGCAGGGCAGCGAAGACGGGACTTCAAGTGAACGTAGAGAAGACAGAGGTGATGAAGATACCAGACCAATACCACCACCACCAACAAACTCCAATCACCATCAACGGGAGAAAGGTAAACGAAGTAGCCTCCTTCACGTATCTAGGAAGCACTGTCTCAACTACAGGCGGTGGCACAGAAGAGGACATCAAAGCCATCCAGGATCGGAAAAGCGAGACAGGCGTTCATTAACCTGAAATCAGTGTGGAGGTCTACTGCACTCCACTCAGCATAACGCATGAACAAGATCCGGATTTTCAACACTGTCAAACTCTTCTGCGCTTAGCATAAAGAACAAGATCCGAATTTCCAACACCAACGTCAAAGCAGTGCTCCTGTATGGTTCAGAGACTTGGCGCGTCACGAAAGGGATTTCCAACAAACTACAGACATTCATCAACAACAGCTGCTGTCCACGCTGGCTCGTCACTGGAGATCAGATGGCCAGGATAATAAGAATAAGCAACAAGGAACTCTGGCTGGCTGGTGACGAACCAATCAAGAAGCTATCGCTGGACAAATATGTCCTGGAAGGAAGTAGAGATGGATTGGATTGTGCATACACTGGGAAGGCCGACTAGGGACATCAAGCATCAGACCAGGCCGTGGAGTGGAACCCAGATGGGAAGCGACAGGTTGTTCGTCCGAGGTGAGGGTGACATGGAGGAGATCGTGTGAGGAGGAAATGAGAGGTGTCGTGGAGCCAGGTTCAAAAGATTTCAGAGAACAGAATGGGATGGAGACATGCTACTGAAGGCCTTTGTTCCATTAGGAACCCAAAGGACAAATAATAATAAAATAATAATAACTGGTGCGGATGAATAGTATCATGTCAGTTAACAACAATGAAATATGTGCTTCCCCATGCGAAGTCCTGACTTATTTAGAAGACCATCTATATGAAAAGACTGGACTGTAAATCAGAATCTTATAACTCTGGCAAGTGAAGAAGGAAAGTCATTTCATAAAGACTTTTTCAAAATATGACGTTAAATTCTGATTTCAAACCAATCGGAGCTGACAAATTTTCTATAAACTTTGGGTTTTGATTGGAGATGAAATGAAAACCCAGGTTTCGACAGGTATCAAACCAGTGACTTACAGGCTACTGATCAGGTGAGCTATGAAACCTATTTGCTTACTAGGTCCTAACTTCCTTTCAGTCACCAAGTGTTCAGCTTGACAGTAATGTCAATCGGTGATACGTCGCAGTCATTTCATCGTAATTACTTTGGCTGTCCAGTTAGGTCATCTCATCTCAAACAGAATGAAGCTGGCTTAAAGACAGGGGGTGCCGGATTGACGATTAATGGGAGTATAAACTACTCATACCATGACTATCTCAGACAGTTTCGTAAGTTTTTCTTATAAGACTGACATGAATTTATGGAGGTGATTTTAAATAAGCACAGTCTTTATCGAAACCAAAAGCTGATTTTTATTTCTATTATTACTTCATATTGGTGCAGCCTGAAGAGACTGAAGACTTATTTGATACCTGAATGCATTCTCTGTTCTGTTCTTTATATGATTCCACTCGATTACTTTATTTACTAGTGTTAACCACTGGTTTTTTGGCTTGAGCAAAACTAAACTTATTGCATGCTGTGTTAACTCTGTACGTGGTTATGTCACTATTTGGATGTTTCATGCTACGATGAAGCACTAGTTTATTTCTTTTCTTACTCATACTACTTTGACTGATTTGGTTCAGCAGTCATGAAAGCCATAAGATTAATGCAGAAGACCTTCAGAATATTTCAAAACATGGATTTCAGTATTGATTGAGTATGAAATATAGATCATTCTACACAACATTAGTCAGTTTCGGTTCATTTGCTCTGAATTTTCTAGCAATCGATTTCGGGTGTAACCCTGTTTTGACGATAAAATTCAGCACCTTTCTAAATAGCTGACACCAACGGTCAGCGATTTCATGGATAATTTGAAATCACCGAAGCTGTTTTATTATTTAAGAGCAATATATAGTATACCTAGCAGGAAAGCTAAATCATTTAATAGCATTATAACCCTCAGTCGGCTTCTCTGACTGACATGTGTCAAGGATGTCTAACATACGTTGGGTTTTGCGAAGGCTAAAAGTGACCATTTCACGTGTCAGCATTGGAATTCATGACTGGTTTACACCAATATCTAGTTGTAGGATACGGAATGTATTCGTAAAATACGCTGATCAGATCAATTACTTGGACAATTTTATTCTCTCAGTTTTCTGGTTGCTGACTCAATCTTATCATAGATACAGAAGGCTTACTCGGTATACGCCAGTTTAGTCCATCTGTGAGGTAGGTGAAATATCCGACTACCTATCAAAAGGAGAATCAAATTACGGTGCAGTGCCTTTTATCCTGTTTTATGTCTGGGAAACATCATCACTGAAAATAGGATACATGACAAGGTAAAGTGTTTTCGATCATATGCGTCTTCACAGCGTTGCTTGTGTATACAGGAAGCACGATATGAAAAATATTAAGGTTTAGTGTAGACTAATTGGATTGGGAAAACAATTCAGTCACTGAGACTGTGAGACCTCATCGACTTAGATGGCTTAAACATGTATTAAACATGCCAAGCCATATTCTAATTCCATGCACAATGTTAACCTAAGTATAAATCGATTGGATGAAGACTAAAGGTAGTCAGACAAATATGTGGCGCCGATTCATCAAGTCTACGATTGCCGGTCTATGTTGATATGCATCATGTATATGTGAACAATACAGTGCTCTGTCGTGATACGGTTAACTATAGGACAATAACTTCTTAAAACAGTACTTAGCTGACACCGGAAGAAAACTACAATGGGAGTGAAAGTATATTTACTTCAGCCGAATGGTGTGATGGTAACTAAAAGTTCATTGGTTGACATACTTTTGATCATGAGCTTATTTAATGTTCTATAATCAGTACAAGTTTGCACTTCATGTGTCGTTTATATAAGAAACCTGTTCAGAGGTGATGGCTATGAACTATTGAGAGGGTTCATAACTACCAACTTCAGAATTTTATCGATATTCTGCCTACTACCTGAAAACTTTTGCGATCTAAGCATCCAGCTGTTCATGAGACTGGAAAACTTCTAGTAACATTATGGTATATTGCTATGTGTTTAGGCAAGGATTTTGTGTAATACGTTTCCGTGAGATGACAAAATCCTCTCCACAATTTATCATACACGGATGTGTTTTTCATTGGAGTGGTTACCAATTTTATTGCTTCTGTGTTAATAGTGATACCAGGGATGGAACATTAAAAATTATGACTGATCAGTCTATAGCATCTAGAGTAAACTAACCAAGTCAATTGTAATAATAAATATTTGGGCAATATCGAGGTATCGACATAGTAGCCCATATGCTAACAGAGGCCGACCAATTCGATCCAATACAATAACGGGGAATTACAAGTATCAATAAATAAATAATTAAATACGTAACGTTTCGTAACATTTTCTGATTATTTAATTATTACTTAGTTAACTACCTCTACATTATATTTCATGAAATCTTCATTTACGTATCTGTTTGAAGTCCCAAAGGTCGATAAAATTATCTCGTCTGGATATACAAGAGATCATATCTTTAATTTATTTGCCGAATTTCATTTTTATTTGAAAATTTGTCAATCTTTGCTTCAACGGAATTCGGAGTTTCAAAGACATTTTTTTGATTCTCGATACTTTTAAAATCGTTGTGTAACTAATTTTTATTTATAACTAGTATTATAATTACGATTGTCAAGAATCTTCTTAGCTGCAGCTAGCAGAGGAATCCAGGACGCGTGTTCCGTCCTATTTGGGACTCTTCAACTGGATTTATGTGCACTCTAGTGAGTGATGCTGTCCCCACTGAGACCCGAATATCGTAATCATCGATTTAAAAGCCAAGGTCGAACAATTCGATCCCGTAAGACAACGGAGAATTACAAAAATATCAGTAGATAGTAATAACTAATACCTGCTGTACAAGAGGTGGCTATCGCACCTCTGTGGCCTTAGTGGATAACACCTTGGTGTTTGGAGCGATGAATACGAGGTTTGAGTCTCAGTGGGAACAACATCACTAACTGGGGTTCACGTACATCCAGTTGATGAGTCCCAAATAGGATGGATGCGCATCCTGAATCCCTCTGCTAGCCACAACTAAGTAAACTGCCATGAATTACATTCAGGCAATATCAAGGTATCCGCATAAGAAACCCTTTTCTCCATAGAGGTCAAACAATTCAATCCAGTGAAACAACGGAGAATTACAAGCATATCGATAAATATTACAAGAATGTTATGATATCTGGTTCAGTTTTTTATTTACTACTTAATTATATTTTAGTCAAGTCCAGAAATGAGCGAACTAATAAATCCATTGCTGGATAAAGCCACATATATTGAACCATATGGATTACAGATTGTGGGCAATTTTACTTTGGCTTTCTTAAATTTGTCACGTAAGTTTATTGATCGATACCTCATCTTGCATACTGTAAACAGTACAATTTTATTGAGTATAAATATTTGTTCGTTTTCATGTGGTTTTCAGAAAGAATGTATAACAGTCCAAAAATGCTGGATAAGTTCTAGACGGTAGTAATTAGTAAGTAGTCATCAAAGAAAAGTACTGAAGTAAGAGTTTTCATCGCTGGTAATGAGCACTTTCGTCTTTAAAGTGTTAAGTTCTTCCCTTTTTCCAACATTCCTATATGCTGGCTTACCTGTCGCAGTAAGCAGAAAGTCTTCAAGAGATATGGAAGAGGATGGTACCGTGAATATAGAAGTCCCCGTTTTGCATCGTTCAAATATATCATGGTGATTTGAAACACTTTTTATTACTCAGTGATTTTATGATTAAGCGATATCCAGCTTTTGATTTCAAACATTTTTTACTAACAGTTTCTAACTTATCACTGGTTCTGATGTTGTATCATTCAAGTAACTGAAATATTTTATGCCTAATTTTGTACAAGCACATAATGTTCAACTTACATAGGAATCTGAAACATATGGTCAAAAAGAGGAAACTTTCATCCTTATATATTAGTACTACAGTACTACTAAACACAGTTAACTAATTACACCAAATATAATACAGTATCACTAAAAGTCACATTGGTTTTCTGAGAAAGATTCAATGAACACGCGAATCATAGATACGAAATTAGCCATTCCATAGAGGGTAATTCTGGATTATAGTTAAATTTTTAAAAGGCAAGTAAAGCACTGAATGGATCCCATGTATTAGAAGTTGGAAAATGTGAAACACTGAATCCTGACATAATAGTTGAATAGTAAAATGCTTATCAGATGCTTTAAAGCTTTTATACCTAATCCTATCTCGGGGTCATTGGTATCCTCTTCTAATAAGTTTCAAATAAGGCCAACAAAACTATGTGATACCATCTGGTTTTCAGTGGTTCGCTCACCAATATAATTTCGTTATCAGAGCTTTCTTTCCCTCAAGCTGTATATTATTTTTCACATAATTGTAGAAAACTGACGAATTTATATTGATCAAAATGCTATGAATGTATTTTACTTACTGGTAAATATACTTACTGAATTAGGTCATCGTTAACTTTTCATAGCAGTGTAAAATTCAATTTCAAGAAGAAAATTGACAAAATTAAACAATATATGCGTTTAAAAGAAACATATTTAATACTTCATGGTTGTAATCATCACAAGCTGACATTATTTAGTGAACTACCGAAAACCTGGGAGTGCTGGACAGCTGTTTCGTCCCAGTATAAGACTCCTCAGCAGTACGCGCCTGAGACCCTGTGAGGGGTCGAACTCCGGGCCTTTCGGTCCTTGCAGCGAGCACGTTGCCGTTCAGCCACTGAATCAGAGACCAACGGTCCCTACTCTGCTACTTCTGTTAATTGACGACGCAGTTTAACCACCATATAATGTCACAAGTGAACTTCCGCTTCACTTACGAATCGATTGACCCCATAGATCACAGCCTCACGTTAAAAATTCGGAAATTCCAAAACGAAGCACATCACTAATAAGAATCGGACATTAATTTGCGTTGAAGGTTTGTGGGGATTAATTGATTTAAGCTCACACTGCTGAGAAGTTCTACACTAGGACGAAACAGCTGTCCAGTGCTCCCAGGTTTTCAATAGTTTTCCAGTTAATGTCAGTCCTTAATTAATCCTACCCTAATAGATTTTAATGGAGGCGGAGTGATTAAGACGTTCCTCTACGAATAATCACCACTCATTTACCTGGAAATTATGTGGTTTACTACACTAATCGACCTGAAAAGCAGACATAAACAAGTAAATCACATCCTGACACAATACAATGACATAATAAACTTTATTAGCTACGGTTTCAGCAAGCATGCAGACAAATGATCTATATTTGATGAAATCCGAATGTTACGGAGTTTTGTGGGTATGATGAAAGTTCACTATAAAAACTACGAGTATTTATGTAGTACGTAATGAGTGCCTTCAGTAGTCAGTCCCTTCTATAAACTTGAAATTAGCAAGTACAAGGCAAGGTTTATCTGTCCAATGTAATTTAATTGAGTCAAACATTTTGAAACTTCCTGATCAAACATTCATTTTTTTAAAGATTTTTATTATATGAAGCATTTGTTTGTTCGACCATCTTTAACTATAGAATTATGTGTTGTACGATGTATAGGTAAGGTTATAATCAGGTTCACTTACTATAGTCACTGATCTTATTTGTGTGCTGTTTGATCGACACATAATATGGCTAGCACGTTATCGAGAGGATAATTATCAAGACATAAACCTGACATAGTGATACTGATGAAGACAACTATTATGAACTTCTGTTATTTAGGATAGAGAATTCAATGTGCTCAATAAAAATGATCAGCATGCACTAAATTTTCTTTTATAAAGTATGGATTGTTTTTCAAAATCCCCTAATTTTTTTCTAATGTTTTAAATTTAGCGTTTACCTTAAATATACATGAGTACAGTAAATTAATTATAAAATACGCTATGGTTTCAACATCAAATGAAGGAGTCGAAATGAATAATTAAATAGATATCGTAACATTCACATGTTTTAACTGAAATCTTACAAGCTATTCAATCTGAAAATTATTACATACTACTATAAGTATTTTTAAGTAGATATGAATCTATCTTGGTATATCAAACAAGTATGATGAATGGCTTTGGTAGTTCCATAATTAAAAAAGTATCTTTAATTTTAAAAAAAACCTTCTTGTACCATATCAGGTAACTTAATTGGATTGAACGGTTTTAAAGCTTTGCAAGAAGCAGTAACATACCAAGTGAATATGCTAAATGGTGAATATGCATCATCAAACCTTGGTACAGGGTTATTAAAACTATTGATTGACGTAAGTCATAACTTAATATTAACCTGAAAACTTTATACTCTTGAAAACCGTCTTTCTAGCAAGATCGAAATGTTGAAGAATAAAACAAAATATTTTTTTTGATTTCATTATTTGTTGTTCTAGCGTATCACACTAGGACTACAAAAGTGAAATACACATTAACTTGGTATCTAAGCTTTTCCTAACAGTCCACTTCATTAGGATAAGTTCAAACATAAAACGTATTCTCTCTTAATTATTTTATTTAAAGGATAAAAATGTATCTGTCATAGTCCTTCGTCAGAAATCTTTACTCTGCCTTATAGCTTTTAATTCAAGAATTATGATATCTATAACAAAAATTTAAACTAGCTTATTGGTTCATCTACTGATTCACTGAAACAATATTGAACTTGGGGGAAATAATGCTTAGGTCTAAGTCATCCTGTTCCTTATGTCACATCAAAAAGAATCAAAAAGCCAAAGAGGGAATGATAGTGAACACTCTAGGATCACATTAAAATCTATTTTTATCAACAAAAACATAATACATAGACCAAGTGTCCACCTATGCAGATAGAGGGTAAACCTATTTACACGAATAATGGATATTTTGAAGTTCATCATGTAGCATTTACAACCATCGCTATATTCTATACTAAGATTACAAACCACTACAACTTAAGTTTACAAACAATAATGAATTAGTACATGTGAATTTGTTTCCTTCATAACTTCTTTAAATCAGTTCATACTGCTGGGAACAGCTCAAACTAATTCGATCTGGAACAACAAATTCTAAAGAAATCATTCGATACTAATTTGGACAACCTCAGCAAATTAATATACGTTATTATTAAAACACCATACATGTTTTCATAGACAGAATAACCCGTGAAACTAATTATTCAGTCTAAATAGAAATAGTTTATGCATGGGAAGGATTGCTTTTAAATGTTTTTATCTTTATATCGATGGAGTTGACAAGAAAAAGCTAATGTTATTGATAGAGTTGGTTTGCAAATACTTAAACTCAGTGATGATTACCATATTCAGAAGGGACTCCACACCTAAATAAAAATATTTTATTGACAAGAAAACTCCTTGATATAAGTGTAAACCCTGGACACTATGGTAGAATATAATTCCACACAAGTAGTATTTATACTATGACGTTTCAACCATAAATTATTGTTCATGATCAACTCAAAGTAATCATACAAATTTTGACATCTAACTTTTATAATCCTATCATCTCATATACAGTGCCAGTAAAACTTTCTACATCTCTAGCATATGTGTTTCATCATTCCTACTGCATATATCGGATGCTGATATGATGTACAAAGAATCGATAATCAATCTTTCCACCTAACTATACTGAACTTTAATACAGTTGCTTTTTTCAACCTTTGAATAGTTGTAAGTCAGTGGATGCATTGCAATATGCAAGATCTTTTATGGGCTGTTGGTCTTAATGGGGTTTATTATGCTACATTTGTCTAAGTTCATATATTCCGACAATATGACTGATCTCTAACGGCTGATTTAGCCTATTTATTAGGCAGATCAAACTATTTTATTCAGTCCGGTCAACAGAACCAGTTAGCCGACAAAGTTTATCTCTGAGTTAAATTTTAACTTTGAATACCCTGTTAATTCTAACCTTGTTGAGAACTTGACGTAGATATTATGATGTTCCTTTCTTGTATGTTAACACAATAGAAGCATTGAACCCCTTTCTGCTTGAGTCGCCTTTGTTATTCATAATATTACTATTACTTCATCTTATATGGATTTCTTCATAAACTCTATAAAATGATTGCTCTTCGATACTGTTGCCTTTATCTGTTTTAATTCCATATTTAGATTCTTTTATTCACCAAAGAGTATTCTAGCTTTACTGTTTAAACACTTCACTAGACCCGTTTTAAGTGATATCGAAAGAGATGACTTGAAGTCTGGACGCCTGATGGTTCGTTTTCTGTAGATGGTAATGGCTAAATCACCGTCTGTTCTTTGTTTTACTTTCGGATCCAATATATGCAATATCCTTGTTCATTTTTTAGCTCGTTAGTGAATCACACAGTGAACCACACAGGGTTTTATACTTTTATCTAATCTACTCTATCTTATTACACTAGTTACTAAAACAAAATAAGACATCATTTCTGTCATTGAGAAAGTACTGTGAGGTGTAGACTACACTGTCAAGTATAATCACCAACTTTGTTTATTCAGTGGGGTGGTTTCCTGTAAACTTTTAAAATGAAACATACTTTCTTCACTGTCAGCGCATGTACGTAAGCTAACTAGTTGTCAGACATCAGACTTGAAGTCAACATATGCTGAAAACGGCCTCACTTCCAAATGGGTGAAGGCGATCCTTAACCTAGGTTTTATGATTGCTGATGACTGCCTACAAACAGGGAACCTGGGTCTAACATTTCCAGTTGATTACCTCCAGCCACTTAACATTAATTAAAAATGTATCACAATGGTGCCTCTTAGCTTGTTAATCACATTACAAAAGGATCGATCGAATTCGGTGTGAACTTCAGACCACACAACGTAAAATTGGTTACTCTACGGTACACTATTCATTACAACACACTGTTTAACCGTACCCAAATGTAATGATTCTGCTTTTTCCGTAGATAATGTCAAGAGATTTTGAAACGTTTGTCAGATAAACTGAATATGATAAAATTGTTTCATCACAGTAACCCAAAAGATTAATTACTTACAACTGAAGTATGATGATACCATTGAGCAGTTTCTTACGCATACTAATGCATCATAACTATTGTTTTCTTTCTGTTTTTTGATGTATTTCAACAGAATAATGCACTTAGTCAGGACTGTGAGATGATATCATCTATTAATGAAATGCTGGCGCCACGTGATCCTTCATTGAAAGGCTTGAATAATGATAAAGTCATAGAACCAGAATTATCTAATTCCAATATTACAATAAATTCATAACAAGCAAGACACTGCGTAGAATTTGTAAATTTACAAACCTTTCACTGTGATTTCTTTTTCTTAATTTGTGAGGAAATTATTATTATTTTGACTATCTGAGATACTCATGGTATGGAAAACTTGTATTGATAATGTGTGACGATTGAAGGTGCAATGAAAACTCCGGCCACGAGAAGATACGGACCAGTGACCACCGGGTTTCCAGGCCGATGCTCTGTTAACTGAGCTAACTGATACCTGACTACTGACCAGGTATTTTTATTTCACTTCATTCACCAAGACGTTTGCCTAACTGCCATGAGAATGCGTGATGCGTTAATGTTTCTTGATCGTGCTCACACTAGCTGTCCATTCAAGACTTCTCATCCCATTTCAAGCCCTAATGTAAGAATGCATTCCATAATGTTGGATTTGCATACCAATTGGTCGATAGACATTTACCAGCGCTGAACAAAAACGAATAAACAGCTACATCGGTAACCCAGTGATGATCGATCTTTATGATTTATCCAGTTCCATACAGAGGTTAAATGGAATCACTTAGAAACATCATTTTCCTCATCGTTACAAATACGCTTTGTTAATCAGCGTCAACAAGAACCTAACCTACATCCTGTGCTTACAATTGATTTTTTATAAGACTTAAAAGCAAACAGATTATGCTAGTGTAGTGATTCGTTTGTACAAATGAAGACAGTTTTTATCATCAGATAGTATCATTTGATGAATTAATTATATAAGAGGGGCAGAAGAAGTTCAGAATAGGAATATTAAGTAATGTAACTTCTGATAACCTTTGAGACAAATCTTTAAGTTTTCAGGTATCTTAGTGTCAACTAAACACTGAGTACTCGAATTCAAGTGTCACTATTCACATTTCATAGCTTCAAGTAATTCATGATATGATGCAGACATCGTTTATCACTATTCAATTGGTTGTACGTAAGCAGCATTTTCTTTCTGTTGAAGACATCATTGAATGAATAAAGAGTCTTTAGAGTAAATTTGAGATATAACGATTTGTGAAACCAGACAGAAATTGTCCTAAAAATAAATGAATGACGAAGAAGTGGTTTTGGATAAAAGAAAAGTCACTGATGTATATCAAAACGACATTAATAAATGAATACAGTATCTTCATTAGCAAAATACATTCAAATGAAATCAATGAACAGGAACTGAATATAGGTAGAATTTCTTAAGTTCTAATACATAGACATTAAAGGCTGCCCTGGAAGAAGAAAGAAATTTGTATGCTGATCTATTGTTTCGCATTGCTACGCCCATTAACAGCACAATAAATGACAATGAAAACTGAAAGGATAAATAATATAATGAAACTAAGGAAGATGTAAACGAAGATCACCAGCAGTACTTGAACAATTAAATCGTATTCGTCATGCCCTCAGCAACTATGCGCACATTCGTGTAGTAGACAGTTAGCCAACACCTATTTTGTGAGGTCTGATGATATTACCTGGATGCCCAAACCTCGATAAGTGTGGCAGTGTTCTAACTTGAAAGACGTAACTTTCTGTCGTACTGTTGGTGGTGTTGACAGGTTAAGAATTAGAAGTTGGAAACTCTCAATGAAACAACAAGATAGGCAGCCACAATGGTTTGAATGAGTTCTAATTGGAGTCGTAATTATAGACTTTTTATGAGCCTTGGTTATTCCTTCCGTCTTTTGTTCATCTTGTTTAATGTATTATTTTCCGTAGTGTTGGAAGGTGTAGTTTTTTATTGGTTTATCTGTCTTTTTATTTTTGGTTTCATGTTACACACTCATGCGTGCTTTTGCGAACTAAAACCATAGAATCATAAAATTTAACTGCATTCCGCTCAGCTTCATCTGAGTTATCTCGTTACATCATAAGCTGCAACATGTAAATTGCCATCCATAGCCCAACACCCAAACTTCTGGCAGCGAAAACAATTGAAAGAAGCAAAAGATCGGTATGCAGGAAGGAATGCCTATTGTCAAAAAGTGGGACAGTCCTCATTAAATATGGTACACCTTGCACTAAAGCCGTCATTTACAAAATATGCTTCATTTCCTCTTCTGCTTCTTTCTTGATTTGCTGTTCATACACCTACCTTGTCTTATGCGTTTCTCTTGGCGGAATCCTTACCCATTGCTGGTAGTTCTCTATGATTTCTACCACCCTCTCAACATATACTACTTATATCCATTCTTATCAGCAACGTCCACTACAGCATCACTCATCAAGGTTCATTTTCATAATCTTATTACTATTATTGTAGATGACATGCAGAAGCATACTTGATATTTTAAATTTTCTGTGATGACCGTCTTCATGTGGAACTGTTTTATTTCTCAACTGCAGTAACAATAAAAGAGAAGTGATCAGTTGTTATACCTCCCAACGTTCACTATTTGAGGATAGCGAACCGTTTTCAGATACATATCAGTAAACGGATCCATAAGGATAGATAATATTTACTTTTGTAAAAAGAACATTTGATGCTCAAAGCATGCATTTATCCATTATTAAATATTGTCAAAGAGTTCAAAATCGAAGTTAATCAAAAAGTACATAATTCACAAACTCTTCAAACAGTTGAGTACAAAATCTTCACACTTGTGAATTGAATCTAGTTTAAGTGAAAGTGCTGTAATTTTCCTAGCTAAACACTTACTTATTAAAGAAGCTCAATATTCAGTAACAAATTTTTCAGGTAGAACCTCTTCATAAAAAATGGAATTCATGACCATTGCAAAAGAATCTAGTTATACTACGATAAAAATGGGTTTAAAATAATTATTCCCTTTGATGAAGTTGCATACTGTAATAAGAATGCAAGGGTAATCTGAAAAATGTGATGTATTTGCGTAATTCATTTCGAACAATCTGGTCATACTCTTACTTAGCAAGGCATTTTAAATGAAAGGTGAATATAGGATGGGATAACACAAATAAATTAGGATTATACGAGATTTGTTAGTCTCAAGTATAAGATTATATCTGAGAAGGAGAAATGTGGATTCTTACAAATCTTGTATTTCGAGTCACACTTTTCTCAGACAATCTTTCTAGTAAAGTGCAATCTAATTTTTCAAACCTTGTTTGTCTATCTGAGTGTCATAGGGATAATTGTAATGAGAAATTCCATAAATTAATGGGAATTTATACTCATGTATCGTATGTTGTCGGAGATCTCGCTCGCATATAATATTAAATTAGTTGATTTTTGTAATGTAGTCGCCAAAACAACCAAAGAAAATCTGATGCTTAGATTATCAACATCTCTCTAGAACAAAACACTTATGAGTCCTTTACCGATCACTTCAAATAATTATGTGTCTAATCTCTCATCTTTTGAGTTATATATATCCTATTGATAAAGAAGCTTTGTTTATTGGATTTAACTTATCTCTTATACAAAATTTCCGAATTAGGGCTTGATGCCCACTTTCAATATCTTTAGGACCAATAGAGTTCATTTATCCCAGCTTCGTCTGAAAATAAAAGCTAATGAAAGCTAAGCTTGTCGATATCCCTCATAATATCATTAACCCTGGTTCCAAACAGAGAAACATCCTGAATTCTCAACATTTCAACGCATTCAAGGGACTGCAGAATAAAAATGACATAGTCATTCGTTACAACCCACAGGATGTGAATATCCAAATTCATACGGTTTACCCAAGATACACAAAGTTGATATCACATTACGTCCAACACTATCGATATGTTGCTTTCCAGTGCATGAATTAGATAAATGGTTAGCACAAATGCTAAGTGCAATCAGAAATCAATTATGTAAGTTTGCATTAAAAGATACCTCTGAACTTATTGACCACTTAAATGACATCACTATCAAAAATACAACAATGTATTCTTTTGATGTAATTTTCTTTATTCATGTATATGCCTTTAACTAAGACTGCTGAAATTCTTTGTGATTATATATCCTTGAATAATCCCTCATTCTCTATCCTTCCAAAATACTTGAAACAACCATTACTACTATGCGCTGATAAGGTTCACTTCACTTTCAAAGGTGAACGTTTTTGATAAGTTGATGGCATCGCTGTGGGTAGTCCTTCAGGATTATTGTTAGCTGGTTTCTATATATGACATGTTGACCTTTTGACTTCGGATTTAATCAATAAATTCACTCTGCACAGGATGATAACGTAGTTATATGCAGCAAGTATATGGATTGCAACAGGCTTTTTAGGGAGACTTACTCCCATAAAATAATGTCATATCATTTTGTCATGTGAAGTAAAAAATGATAATCAGTATCCTTTTCCTGACATATTATTAACTAGAGCTTGATAAAATATCAGTGTACAGAAAATCTAAGTGAACTGGATAGTACCTAAACTTTTACATACTCTGTCCAATCCAATAAAAACGGGTTTTGGTAAAGTGCTTATTCAAAAAGGCTCAACATATCTGCACAACAGGTACTTGAAAATACTAGATCAAATTCTTAACACAGATGCTAATGAAAAACGCATATCCACTAAATTTCATCAATCATCATAAAGCGTCTCAACATTGTGAACTAATCAGCATTCTTGTTTGATGCTGCCAGTCACTAAGATGAATACATAATCACTTTGTCTCGAAAAATGACGTGTACGTCACGCTACTGAATAAGAGAGAATCAAACAGTATGATTTTAAGACGAAAGCTTAATCCAATTAGTAAAATAACATACTATGTAGTCAGACACAGTATTAAGGAAACAAAGAAAACTATGCTTCAAAATAAAACTCGTTGCTACATAGATGACTACATCACACTGCGTTGAGTATACCGACTTACATGAGTGTGCGTTGACATTTACATTGGGAAGAGTAGTCGAACTATGAAGTTGAGGGTAGTGAAGTATATCCCTTATTGACTGGAAAGACAGTTACATTCAAATAATACAATAAATGTATGGGGTAAATAGATTTCATCATCTATAGGTAAATACATTATCGGAACAGGTCACAGGATTGATCCAAAAACAGCCTTTAG